GGCACCCAGGAACCCCCCAGGTCAGAGCTTTGCTGGATACCCTGGCAAAAGGCTCCCTTCCTCTACGGGCACCAGGCCCTGGGAAGCAGCTGAGGTGTTTCCCACTGAGAGATGGAAGAACATTGCCTGCCATTCCCAGGGAGCATTAACTGCATTATCAGAGCTGGGATCTCCGGGCAGGGGTGCATGTGAGGCTTCCCTGCCTCATGCCAGCTGTGTCCATGTGAGGTTGGGCCCAGCCCCTGATGAGCACCTTCCTCCCCTGTACCTGGAGGAGTTGACCACTAAAGGTGAGCAGAGACATGTACATGTGTGCAACCATGCAAACAAACAGTTAGACAGAACACCTCTGACACCCCTTTGGGATTCTGCAGCCACCTTTGACATCCAGAAACAGTGCTTGAAAATTTTATGGCAGAAGGAGGGACTTCACAGTAAGTGTGGTGAAGTCTTGACTCAGGCTGTGCATTCTTGACATATTCCTGCTCTAGCACTTGTCCTGGATAGGAAAAAAGGATCAGTGCCCACTTCCAGACTCTGTCGATATCTTCTAAGCCCCCTTGTCTAGCACGACTGCCTGTTTTACCACTGTTAACATGCATGCAGACAAAGAGACACAGAAGGATTTTGGAGTGCCACAGTGTGAGAGAGCAAGAGGAGGGAATGAGCAGAGGTGGACTGAGCCTATAGCTGGGCCCTGCTGTGGGATGGCAGAATTTAAATCAGAAGGTCTCTGGACCAAACCACTTATCTCAAGGAGCACAGCCTGGTTCTTGGGACAGTTTTGTCCTTGCCATGGCAAGGGCGGTGACTGCTGTGCTCAAAGGTGAGAGCAGAGGGCTGGGACAGGCGGCCTCCAGAGCAGAGCTGGGAGGAGCAGGGATGCTCAGGCATGCAGGCATGAGTGACCTGATGGTTTCAGCCTACCCACAGGTGTGGATGGGGGTCCTGGCTCTATCCCAGAGGGCAGGGGGGGCCAAGGCAGGCATGTGCTAGTGCTGGCCAGCACAGCCATGCCCCCAGGGTGCCTTAACCTGAGCTCTCTGCATTGGCAGTACGTGAGTGAGCAGCTCCAGGCGCACAAGCAGTTGGTCGTATCAACCTGCTCCGTGGCAGACATCCAGGCGGCCTTCAACACCACTGTGTCCCGCATCCAGCGATAGTGAGTATGACTTGGGCTCAGCCTGATGGCACCATATGAACTCAGAGAAGGGCTGAGTATGGCCTTGGCTCCCCAGGGATCATTAGGACCCTTTGGAGTTGTGAACATTACTGTAAAAACAAGTGTAGACCTGGGGAAAGTGAGGGATCCCAGTATCCCAGTGCTGCTTTTGCCCCTGGCAGTGCACAGCAAGCTGGAAATTCTCAGCGATGGGTTTCTGTCAGCTGGCCTGGCAGGGCATATCCCCTGGCCCACCTGCTGAGCTACTGCACATCCCTCATGGTCTCCTTTTCTCTCCCTTTGGCAGCTGTAACTGTAACTCTCATATGCCTCCCCCGGTGAAGGTGGTGGTGGCAGGGGACCAGAGCTACCTGAGTGTTGTCCTCCGTTTCTTTGTGGAGCAGCTGGCCAGCAAGACACCCGACTGGCTCAACTACCTTCGCTTCCTTCTTGTGCCGCTGGGTGAGAGTCCCTGTGAGCCTGGTCCCAGGGCTGTCCTCTCCTACCTCCCCAGACTCCCCTGCCTGGAGCCAACGCTGCCCTTCTTACCCACAGGCTCTCATCCTCTGGCCAAGTACCTGGCCTCGGTGGATAACAAATACAGCACTCTCTTCCTGGACACAGCATGGCGGGAGCTGTTCAGCAGGGCTGAGCCACCCACCGCAGGTGAGGAGCAGGGCAGGGTGCCATCAGCAGTGCCCTGATGGGAGCCCAGCTGCCACTGAGGCCCTCATGGCTCTTTGTGCCCACAGACACTGTGGACATTGCAGGCCGTGTTGCCCAGTTCATCGCTGGAGCCAGCCTCTCTCACCAGCTTCCCATCTCTGAGGCCATGCTGACATACAAGCAGAAGAGGTGAGCGTGGCCCCAGGGCACTTGGCCTCCCTCATGTGGCCCCAGTCTGGGCTGTGCTCAGGACAGGGATGTGGGGCACGGGACAAGTGAGTGAGGCTCTGCATTCCACTGACAAGCAGCGTGGCGCTGAGGGGAGCTGGGTTTCCATAGGTGAGAGGCCTGCAGCACCATTCCCTGCCACCTCCCGGTGTGCTTGGCCCCTCCAGCAGCTGTTGCTGTGACAGACCCCTGGTGGGGACCAGCTGCCAGGGCTGGGCTGGGCTGGGCGGGGGCTGCAAGCTGGTACTGTGCTGCCCGGGGGTTGACGCTCGTGTTCCAGCTGCACTCTCACCTCTCCCTTCTCTTGGTTTCTGGCACTCAAGGAAGAGAAGTCTCTATTTTGATTTTTATATCAGGTATTGGCTTGTGCTTGCTGTGCCGCTGCCTGGCCCCCCCCACCTTCCCCCATGTGCGTCCATCCCTCTTGCTGTGCAGAGGAGCCGTGACCCCAAAAGTGGGGCAGGGCTGCCCTCCCGCATGCAAGCCCTTTCCCAGCCCTGGAGGGGACAACTCCTTGCCTCCTTGTGTAGTGTGCCCTGTGCTGCCATGTTGGGGACAGGGGGTCCCACGGGAGGGAGGGTAGAGGAGACTGACCCTGTGGCTGTGAGCCAGCATTGACCCCTGCCAGTGCAGGGGTGCCTGGGCACTAGGCTAGTCACATGGCACTCGGTGCTCAGCACACCCAGAACCCTGACCAGCCTCTCTTCCTTCTCTAGCCCCGACGAGGACTCCTGCCAGAAGTTTGTCCCCTTTGTGGGGGTGAGTGTTTTGAGGGGCCAGCAGGCCACTGGGGCTGAGGAGAGAGGGGCAGCACATAGCCCTGCTGGTGCTGGCTGTCCTCTGACTCATCTGTCCTTGCAGGTGGTGAAGGTGGGCCTGGTAGAGCAGTCTTTCAGTGCCTCTGGTGAGTCCTTGTGAGCCCACAGTCTCCAGCTCTCTTCTCCACTGTGGGAGGCCCTTGTTGGGGTCCCCCAGCCCCCACAACCCATACTCTTCCTCCCCAGTGGACTCAGATGATGCCACAGTCTGTACCCCCTCCCTGCTGAGCTCAGCACCAGCCACCAGTGGAGCATCTCCCTATGGCAAGGAGACCGTGAGCACTCCGCCACCCTCCCCGTCCGTCAGCAGCGGCCTCTCGGGGGCTGGGTAAGAAGGCAAGGCGCGCTCAGCCTGAGGCAGCAGGGGCTGGGATAGGAGCGTTGTTGGTGCTCCCAGGGCAGGCTGCAGCTGGGCAACTGGGAAGGAGAGGAGCACGGGTAGCACCTGTGTGCTGCATGGTGCTGCCAATCTTGCCCAGGTCTCTGAGCCCCGGTGTGGAGGTGATGGGCCTGCAGGTGGACTACTGGACAACACAAGGGCTGGACAGGAAGAAGGAGGGTGACAAGCGGGAGACGGGTATCAAGAACACGCTCAAGAGCAACTTCCGCTCACTCCAGGTCAGCCGCATCCCTGGCACAGGGGAACTGGTGCCCCCCAGCACCATGGCCATGACTGTGGTCACCAAGGAGAAAAACAAGAAAGGTAACCAAGCCCACTCTGGGTGCTCTCTGACTGTGGGGACACAGTCCTTTGCAAAAAGGGCAGGAGGGAGAATAGGGCTGAGAGCTGGCCTAGCAGGGGCCAGTCAATGAGCCAGCCCTGGGGCAAGGGCTCCCACCTAGTGCCAGGTGGGGACATCCTAACATTGGTCTTGTCTGGCCTTGGCCCCCAGTGATGTTCCTGAGCAAGAAACCTAAAGAAAAGGACTTGGAACCCAAAAGCCAAGTCATCGAAGGGATCACGCGCCTCATCTGCACAGCCAAGCACCAGAACACCATGCTGCGAGGTGAGGGGAGGTATAAGCCTCTTGGGGCTGTCGGGCAGACCAAGCAGCACAGGCTGGCTGTGGCAGGGTTGTGCCTCACTGCACCCTCTCTTCTCAGTCTCTATAGATGGGGTGGAGTGGAACGATGTGAAGTTTTTCCAGCTGGCAGCACAGTGGCCAACACACGTGAAGTACCTCCCTGTGGGTATCTTTGGCTACTCGAAGAGTGTGTGAGACATGGGGGCATCCTGGAATGGAGCTGCAGTGGGTTGCAAGAGGAGACAGAGAGATGGACATGCTCTTGTCCCCACCTTCTGTGGCCAGTCTCTGCCTACTCTATGGAGGGGGGATACCACAACCCCACCCTGTGGGCCAAGACCCGTGAAGGTGAGGCCAGTGAGACCGGGTCCAAGCACCCTCCAACACCAGCCAGGGCACCATGCCATCTGCCTCCCATGACCTCCTACAGCAGCCTGGGACAAGGGTTGGCACCAGCCAGCAGGGCCCCAGGAAGGGCTCTGGGCCTCGCTCTCCACAGATGCACCTGCCAGGCCACCCCTGCAGCCAGCCAGGGCCCCAGCTGGGCTGGGCCTGGGCAGGTTCCCCAGTGCTGCTCCATGCAGGGGGCAGGTGCTGAGCAGGGCCCGCCACCCCTGTACCGCCCCTTGCCAGCCCCACTGCCAGCCTCATGCTGCTGTGCCTGGCCATGCCCTCCGCAGCAGAGCCTCAGCAACTTTTCCAGTCCCCCTGCAGCCCTGCTGCTGAGGCTGTCCTCTTCATCTCCCCATCCCTTCCCAACCAGCCCTACCCTAGGGTGCTGCCAGCTGGAGGTGTGGCATGAGGGCACTTGGGTTTTTTTTTTACAAGATTCTATTTTTTTTAAATTTATTGTACGGTTACTTTTCAGGATTAATTTTAATAAATTAATGCTGGTACCATTATGGCAGGGTGGGTGTGTGTGTCCCCATGTCTGAGGGCATGACCGAGCACAGCTTGGGGAGAACAAATGTGGGGAGGGTGCAGCTACTACCCCCACTCCAGCAAGCATAGCAATCAGGGCTGCCTGAGCACAGCAATGTGGCTTCACCACACTCCCAGCCATGAGCCAGCTGAGCTCTCTGAGAGACTATGAACCAGGACTGGATGGCACTTGGCTCATTTATTTAAATAGAACTCACAAGGAAGAAACAGACTGGACCCAGCCTAAATCCTCCCAACCAGGTCCTCATCTACCTGAATGTGGAAAAAGTCTTTCTCTTTTCGGCAGAGGCCAGGCTAGATGCCATCTTGATCTCTACAGTCTGGAAGGCAATCTGTGGCTGGACTTGGGAAGTGGGGGGTGTTGTGGGTTCAGCAGAGATGTATTCCAAGACATGAGGCCTCCCCTCCTGGCGCCGGAGATAGCCCTGGTTCAACAGGTGCAGGACGCAGGACAGCACGTCCACGCTGTGGCAGCAGAAGCTCAGGAACTGCACACCTGGCCCCAACCTGCCCTTCTGACAGGCATCAATCACCTACGGCAGCAAGGGAGCCCCACGCTGCAGTGCGCCACAGCACCCACGCAGCCCCTCTCTGCCCCCCGGGACCTCCGTACCCTGAACACCAGGTTGTCGACGTGGAGCTGCTTCTCCACCTTGAGGATGCGGGTTATGAGGCAGCAGAGGACGTTCCTCTTCCTTTCCAGGGCGCTCACCTCAGCCCTCTCTGTCCGCAGGTACCTCTGCTGGGGCAGCAGCCTCAGGTGGCGGCCAGAGGCCTGGGCCAGGGCTCCCTGGTTCAGCCGCAGTGCACCTGGAGCCAGCACCCAACCCAGGGTCAGCCAAGCCTCCAGCTGAGCCCTGAAGGAGCCCCAGGACACATGTATGGCTGCTGGACCTAACCTGGGCCTCCCCCACTGCCCACACAGTTGGCCACCACAGCCCCGTCCCCTACACGTTGCCCCAAGCAACAACCACGCGCACAACCCCTGTCCCGGTCCCCAACCCCGCACACAGACCCGAGACACAACCACCCACACTGACCCCATGCATGGCCACAAGCCCAAACCCCACACACCACTCCCACCTACACCTGGTCCCAGGCCCCAACCTGACACACAGACCCGCACCCCCAGAACCACCAGACAGACCTGCCCCAGCCCACTCGCTGTACAAGTTCACGCAGCCCTAACCCCAGCACCTACTCGGGGCTCAGAGCAGCACCTCCCCAGGGGTGCCCCAGCCCCACATTCACCTCCCAGCGTGCAGCTCTGCACCAGGACGCCCTGGCCGTGGGTCAGCGGTGTCAGCGCATGGTGCACCAGGTCAGCAGGGAGCCCTGTGGCCTGCAGCAGGGCCTCCACAGCCACCTCCTGCAGCAGGGCAGGGGAGGTGAATGGCTGGCCAAGACCTGCTGGCCACAGGCCCAGTTAAACAAGGGTGTCCTGTGCCCCAAACAGTGCTGGAGACCCCACCGGAATGGAAGGGAGGACACAGCCCGGCCACACTCTGGCATCCGCTGCCTCCCTCCCCCCACTGTGGCCCCAGCTCCTACCTCGGTGCTGTTGAAGCACAGCAGGATGTACATCTGTAGTGTGGACACATGGAGGACACAGTCTCCAAACTGCAGCTCAGCGTGGCCCAGCCACGTCCACTGCAATCGCTGGGGCTTCGTGCACTCCCAGCCCAGCTGGCTCTGGCCTGCCAGGGACAGCGTCAGCACCAGGGCCAGGGACCAGCCCCGACAGGCACTCCCAGCTCACCCCACGCAGCGCCACTTCTGGCTGAGCTGCTGGGAGGGTCTGAGCCCCGGAGAGACCCGCACACACCCCCACTGCCACTCTGCACTCACTCTGCTGGCAGAAGTCGGCAAACTCATCCAGGGGGGAGCTCAGCGTTGCCGAGAAAAACCTGCCAGGGTTATCCATGTAACAGAGTGGGGAAACAGGCCAGCAGCGTGGGGACAGGGCCAGCACCTTCACCTCCGGCACATCCGCCACCGAGGCTGTCTCCAGCACCTGGGCACGGGGACATGAGGGTGGCTCAGGACAGGCTCCAAGATCCCCATGAGGAATGCCGGTGATCTCCAGCCTGCCCACCCCACCCCTTCACCTCATCCAGGCCCGTGTCCAGCTCCAGCAGCCGCTTATCCTGCTCCTGCAGCTGGAAGAGGTGGAACTGCCGCTGGAGCTCCTCTGACTCAGCCAAGTTGCTCAGCATCTCTTGGGGAAAGCGGCTGGGGAAGCACAGCCCAATCTGCTCCACGATGCCTCCTTCCAGCCAAGACGGCCCTTGCGTCAGGAGCCGGTCCCCCAGGTAGTGCCTGCCACAGCCGCCGGAATCAGGTCAGGGGGGGCCCCAGCCCTGTGGTCATCAGCCCCCCACCAGGAGACAAACACAGCCCTGGCCTCACCCCACGCCACACAGGCCCAGCAGCCACAGGGAATGTGCCTCTGCAGCACCCCTGGGTCCTCCACACACCAGAGCCAGGAAAAGCAAAGTGGGAGTACCACTGCCACACTGGGCCAGGCTCCCCCACCGTGCCACACCACCCTGCACCAGGCCCCTGGTCCCATGGAGACACAGCACCCTCACCTGTAGAAGTGCTCAAAGGTGTGGGCAAGCTCCAGGCCACTGAAGACGACAAAGGGCTCCAAGAACCGCTGCAGCTGCTCCAGCGGCCCTGTGCTGCCCTGCGCTGCCCTGCGGAGCTCCTGGATCTGCACATCGAGGTAGCGGGCAAACTGCTCACTCACCTGGGAGGAACAGGGCTGGCTGTGGAGGGGACTCACAGGATGGCCACAGTGCAGGGCTGGGGGAATGTCCCTTGGGGGAGCAGCTGGGAAACTCTGGCACTCCCAGGCAGGGGCCGAGGGTGCCCAGGCACCAGTCCAAGGCACGAGTGTGCCAGGGCCAGGCCCACACCGTGATGGGCGCCACACACCCACAGCTGGGGACCGTCTCGGGCTGCCACAGGACAGGGCTCTGTGGCTCGGTGGGGATGAGCACACCACCCACCCAGAGCTCGCCCCAAGGCCGTGGGCCAGGGCAGCTCCCCAGCCCGTGCCTGCCCGGGGCCACAACACCAGAGCCACACTCCCTGGACTCACGTGCAGGGCAGTCAGGAAGGAGAGCTGCAGCAAAGCCCCCGCAAAGCCCTGGCCCAGGGCCAGCATGAAGGCCGCCTGCTGCCCAAAGAGCTCCTCCGTGGCACCACGCAGGCGCTGGTACAGCCTGCAGTATTGCTCTGCAAGGTCTGGTACCTGCCCTGCTGCCTCCAGGAACTGCTGCACCTGTGGGACACAGAGCAAGAGAGGTGACCCCACAGCGGGACGTGCCCGTGGGAATGTCTGCAGCCCCAGCCTTGCTCTGCCAACACTGACTGCCCGGGTCCCAGCCAGGGGCCAACTCGGGCCCCTGTTGCTGCTGCAGGCTGCTGAGAGCTTATGGAGAGGGCTGAACAGGCTCTGTGAGGGAATGACAGAGGCACAGCAGCAGCCCTGCAGGAAATCAGGGGTCTGACACTGTACCTTTCTCTTGGCCTGGCAGCATCCGCCTGGGTGCAGGGCCTGGCTGACACCTGAGCCGTGCCAGGGTGGCAAGTGTAGGAGAGCTGTCCCCACATCTCTCTGGGCTCTGTGGAGGCCTAGTACAGCCCTGTGCCCTCCCCACACTCCCAGGGCACTGCCAGGCCTCACTCCCTGCTCCACCCACCCGGTATGGATCCCACACGCTCCTCCCGGCCAGCTCTCCAAGCTCTACCTGCTGCTGCACCACGCCACGCCAGCACTGCGAGATTCCCCACAAGCCGCTCGACTTCTCCACCACTGCCTTCGCAGCCCTGGCCGGCACCTCCTTGTTCTTCCCTGCCTTCTCACCTGCCAAGGGTTGACCCCGGATCAGCGTGGCTCTGTGGGCAGGTCCCACACCCTGACCGACCACAGCAGGGCAGAGGGGACGCTGGGCAGGCATGGCCACTGCCGGGCCATGACCACAAGCCTTTCCTGGTTCAGGAGCCTCCTGTGCCACAGGGCCCTCCCCAGACGAGCCCCACGGCCACAGCCTGACATCCTGGACCACCGTCAGCCCAGCCCCACGGGAGGGCAGTGCCTCACTCACCAGCTGCTCTTGTCTCCTCTGGCTCTGGGCCACCAGGGTCCACGTGCACCAGGAGCTGGGTCAGGCGCCGCACACGGGAACCAAAGGCAGCCCTGTGTCCCCTGGCACGGCGGGGCGGCTCCACGCTCTCCAGGTACTCCCTCAGCAGCCAGGCCAAGGGACTGATGCCATCGGGGCCTGCGAGGTCAACCAGACTCAGAGTCAGCTGCCTCTGCCTGGGGCACAGCACGGATGGGCCCCGGAGAGCACAGGGTACCTGGGCTAGTGATGCTCTGCACCAAGGGGTTCACCAGGGCCTCCCAGCACGTCCTGCCCAACGCCCGGGCTGCCTCGTCATCAGGAAGGAAGCGGTCAGCGAAGCCCTGCTCGTGCTGCAGCGCCCGGTTCAGTCTGCAACAGCGACCGGGCAGCACACGGTGCCAATGGCTGGGAGAACTCCCGTGGGAGAGCAGAGCACCGCGGTTGCTTCTTGCTCTGCCCCTTGCCAGCTATGACGGCTCATGGCCCCACTCGCCCCCAGCAGCCAGGGCCCCCTGCTGCCCCTGGGACCTGCCCACAATGGCCCTCGGGCCAAGCTGGGGTTGTGCAGTGCCTGTGGCCACGAGATCTTGCTGTGCCCGGCTGACCTCTGCCATGTCAGGATGTGCCAGCTCCTGTGGGGGACCAGCACCCTTCTCTGGTGGGTTAAGTGAGCCCACACACCCAGCTTAAACCTGGGGCACCCCAGGTGGCCCTGGCCCTCTGGGAGCACTGGAGGCCAGGAAGGAGCGAGGACTCCTCCCTGTCCAGGCAGGACACCCAGCTGCTCCCTTCCTAGCCCTGCAGTCCCCTCACGAGCTGCAAGCAACACCCCCTGGGGCCCTGGGACACCTGTGACAGCACGGCCAGGAGACACCTCACCTGCCAAAGAGTTGCAGCAGTTGCCCCCGGTCCCGGCAGATCTCCTGGCACCAGGCGTGAGCCCGAGCAGTGCAGGAGAGGAACGTCCGCCGGCACAGCTGCTCCTTGAAGACAGGCCACAAAGTGGGCTTGGGACCCAGCACCTCAATGCCACGCACACGTGTGTCAATGCCACCCTATGGAAGAGCATGACCCTCAGTTCCTCAGGCACAGCCCTGATAGCCCACACTGCCAGCTCGCTGGTCTGGCCCCTGCTCCCCTACCTGCTGGCACCGCTTCACCCGGATCTGGATGATGGGCCAGAAGCGGGTCATGTTCTCCAGCAGGATCACTCTGCTGTCTGAAGGCAGGATGGTAACCTGCAGGCAGTGAGCCCTCAGCATGCCAGGCAGCCACACCCTGCCATGGCCAACCCCCGTTTTAGTCACAGCCTCTGTACTCCCCCTGCATCTCCTCTGTATCCCAGCAGCCCCAGCACAGCCTCGGGGCTTCTCCCACCAGGGCTCTGCTCCTGGCTCACAGCCACAGCACACCAGCCTGCTGCAGCCTGGCTGCAAGGCTGACTGTGCCCACCTCCCAGCACCCACAGGAGCCTACAGGCCACACAAGGCTCCTGCACGCCCCCACCTCCCCATAAGCACCCCCCAGGGCCTCACACCAGGGCCAGACCTCCACAGGGTACAGCAAGGACCAGCCTGCCACTCCCACAGGGACTCACTGTGTTGAGCTCCGTTCTGATGGTGGCAGGGCTGTCCCCACCCAGCACCACGACACGGGATGGCATATAACTGGAGTCCTCACTGGCCACCAGCATGCTCATCTCCCTGCAGCACAGCAAACACAGGGATGCCCAGCAGTTCCCACCTCCCAGCCCTGGCCCTCAGCTGTGCCACATACTGCTGCCCATGTCCTGCTACCCCCAGGACAGGGACCACCCTGGCAGGGCTTGCACAGATCCCCAGAGCCCTCTCCTCCACATACAGCCCTCTCAGCCTTCCTGGCCCAGCCCCACCTGATCACCACACCACACTGCATGTGCACAGTGATGAAGTGCGAGCCAGTGCTGCCATTTGACTCCCAGTATGTCTTGGGGTTCCTGTCTGTGAGCCTGCTGGCCTGGTGTGGGTTGGAGGAGACCTGCACCTTGTCCCAACACTTCTCTTCCTTCACCTCCAGGCTGGAGCCTGTGCAGAGAGAACACAAAGCCTCCAGCCACCAAGCCAGCACGTGCCAGCACAGGGCTCAGTTCCCACTCCCAGCACTCACCTCGGCACAGGTTTTGCAGGAAGACATCAAAGAAGGGGATGTTGATGGGCTGGTGGCTCCGGCGGTGCTCCTCAATCTGTCCCAGGACCAGCTACAGGATGAGGTGAGGCTCTTACAGGGGGCCCCCCGTCCTCCTCCCCTCACCCACCCAGGGCTGCGGCCGGCAGAGAGCAGAAGGCTGTCCCTCAGTGCTGGGGACAGCCTGATGGCCCCAAGAGCCAGAACCCCAGCACAGCTGGGCCTCCCCAGGCCCACCTGGATGCAGCCAGCCAAGATGCTGGTCGTCAGCTTCTTGTAGAGGCTGGAGTACTTCTCACAGTCCGTCACCAGGTTGAGCAGCGCTGGTGCCAGCGACGGAGCCACGCTGTGCTTTTCCAGGGCTTTGGACAGAGCCTCGTGGGTGCCCACGTGGCACATCACCACCACGCAGTCCTTGCTGGCAGTGGCCAGGCAGTGCAGGAAGCCAACGACCTCCTGCAGCACCTGCTGACCCACAGCCCTGAGCAGCCGGGGCAGTGCCAAGAACTCCCCTGACCCCCCCGGCTGTGGGTGCTGCAGCTCCATCCCCCCACCCCGACCGCACCAGTGCCCACCAGAGTCTGGCCAGGCACAGCGCTGGGCACGTGGCCATCAGGACACGGACACGGCCAGGACAGCTGCCCCCCACCTCTCCCAGCACGTTCAGACACAATAAGGCCAGGCTGGGACCTGCTTCGACAACGCTGGGCCCGGCCGATGCACGGCACAGCCAGCACAGCCGCCCTTGCCTGCCGGGAGTCCCAGGGCCCCCTCACCTCCCAGCTGCTGCTGTGGGCGCTCAGGGAGGACACACAGGGCTCCACACACTCGTGCCAGGGCAGCACATCCTCCTGATAACTGTCCAGGAACTTGTTCAGGATCCTGAGCGACGGAGGACCGAAGTGCCAGAGGCAGCCAGGCATGTCCTGTGCTGCCCCTGCATGTCCCCACCAGCACCCAAACACATACTGCTCTCTCCCCACATGACTCTGTACCCAGGACAACCCAATCACCACCTGCTTATGTGCTGGGGTGCTCCTGCCCCTGCCCCTGGTGAAGAACACCCCACCAGGACCCACAAACACGTGCCGTGTCTCCCCAACGTCACCATCAGCACTCACACACCTGCTGTGGGGGCCCCACCAAATCCTCCTGCACTCACCTGAGGATGCTCAGGCTCACAGCCTTCTCCGCCCCCAGCAGCTCCAAGCTGCGCAGCAGCAGCCTGAAGCAGCTGTGGTCCTGCAGCAGCTGGGCCACCTGCCCAGAGGGGACAGGGCCTTCCCCGCAGAGCTGCCGCTCCAGGGCCACCACCACCTCCTTGCACAAGGCGCCATCCTCCAGGCTGCCCAGAAGCATCCGCACGCCCTTCAGGTCCAGCGGGGCCTCTCTGCCTGCCACGACAAGGGCACGTGGGCCCAGCCCAGGCACTGGCTTGAGAGGCAGCGGCCCCTTGGGGTGCTCTGCCCTGGCAGGCGAGGCAGCCCTGCCTGCAGCAACCACGGAGCCCTGGCACGGGGAGGGTGGGCAGCGCGGTACCTGCTGCCTCCAGGCCCAGGGGCAGCCGGTGCTCTGCCAGGCGGTTGATGGCGCGCAGGGCCAGCACTGCGTGAGGGCAGCCGCTGCTCTGCCCGTCCCTCCAGCAGCTCTGCAGCACCGCGGGGAGGTCGCAGCTCGCCAGCTGCTCCGCCAGGCCCTGGTGCCCATCCATCAGCATGTTCACCACCAGCAAGCCGTTCTGCACTCCTGAGGAGCCCCTGCAGGGACAAAGCCACGCGGGTGCTCTCCTCCCCTCGGCACAGAGCCTCCCCTGAACCCACCTGCCCGCCATGCCCATTCCTCCCCACTGCAGAGGGTCCCCCAGCCCCAGCTGCTGTCCGCACTCTGCCCCTACCCTGGGACCCTCTGCATGGCGCTCAGGGCAGCAGGGATGGTACTCAGCAGACTGGCAGAGCCCTCGCTGGAGGCAGAGCCGATGCTGGCAAAGATCTCCCGCATCATCTGCGTGTCGGCGTGGTTCCAGGGCGAGGACTTCCCACCGGCACCTCCTGGCTCACCGTCTGCAGCTCCCACCAGCACCTTCAGGGCCTGTGAGGTCAGAAGCGGTCCACAGGGCAGCGGGCATCTCCACCACACCCGGGTGAGCCTGCACACTGCCTGCCCACACACAGCACGCCCTGTGCCACTCACCGCCAGGCCAGCCTGCTGCACCAGGGCGGAGGAGCTGTGCTGCTGCATGCAGGCCAGCACGGCCCGCACGCCGCCCTCCGTGGCAAACGGCACACGCCACTCGCGCTGCGCCATCAGCACGGCCAGCAGCCGCAGCGTCACCGCCACCAGCGCCTTCTCTGCCACCTCAGTGCTCAGCAGCTCCACTGCCACCTGCACCAGCTTCTCCCTGCTCGGGAAAGGATACCTCAGCAGGAGCCTCCTGGTGCTGCCGCTGGCACGCCAGCACCTTGGGCCCTGCCAGCCACCTCCTCTCTGCTCACACAGCTCTGCCACAGCTGGGTCAGCCCAAGGAATGAGCCTGCCTGGGACACAGGGACACAAAATTCACTCTTCTCTTGCCAAGTATGCAGGGACATGCTGGCCTTCACACTCCCACTGCCACCTCCTGTACTCCCAGCTCCAGTACTGTCCCCCACCGTGCCAACACAGCCCTCCCCAGGCAGCAGGAGGGGTGTGCAGCACCCCACAGCTCACCCAGCGCTCCCGGTCCCCAGCCTGCCCTGGGCTGTGCCAACTTGCTGCTCGGACTCAGGCTCCTCCTCCAGGATCTTCAAGATTTGCTTGAGCCCAGCTAAGCGCAGCCCTACGGCTGAGCTGCTGCTCTGGATCACGTCCACCGTGGCTGCAATCTCGGCCACCGAGCCGCTCCCGCTCACCCCTTTGGGGCTGCCCAACACTGGCCGGAGGGAAGGAGGCATCAGGGCAGCAATAACACCCCCAGCAGCTCCCAGGGTGCCATGCACCCACAAAACCAGCACCCACAGGCCCCCCACCAGCTGCCTGGCCCCCCTACCCTGCCCACAACCTTCCTCTCTTGAGGCAACGGTGCCACCTCCGGCACCGCGCGTGTGCCCCAGCACGTAGCAGGACATTACCTTTGATCTGCTCCTCCGTCACCTCTGGGAAGAACAGCCCTTCCCTCCCAAAGAGCTCGCTGAACAGCTGGGAATCGGACTTGGCCGCCACACTGGGGGCTTGGGGCGGCACTGTGGCTGCAGAAAGGTCTTCCTTTGCTGACTTGACCATCGTAGCTTCACGGCCAATGCTCCTGCAGCCACTGCCCTCTGAGGACACTGCCGTGCTCCCCCCACCATCCTGCTCAGCCCCCCTAACGAGGAAGTATCTGGCATAGACGCGGGAGCCACGCAGGTCACGCAGAGTGCTGCCCTGGCACCGCTTCTCCAGGACCTGCAGCACCTTCTGGGCCAGCTCCACAGGCACCGACAGCCGGATCAGGGCTTCTTCATCCACCTCCAACAGCCAGACCAACGGGCTCAAGTTAATCTTGGACTCGCCACAGACCTCATGCCCTTTGTGACAGCCAGTGGCAGAACTGATGGAAAGGCTGCACCATTGGGGGTCCCCGGGGCCATTTCCCTGTGCCACCCTGGCTGTCCCCAAACCAACTGCCACCAGCTCAGACCTCCCACCTGCACTCACCACCCAACTGCAACTGGCAGAATGACCCCATGGCCCTGCCTCACCTACCCAAACCTCACTGCACAGTCACTCTTCCAGTCGTGAGAGACTGCGTTTCCTCTCATCTCCCCTCACAGCTTTGCTGGGACGAGATCCCTGTGGTTTTGCCATCCCCACTCACCCTCCCATTTCTGCCCCGTTCAGGCTATCCCTGTATAGCTCATGTTTGCCATCTCCTCTGGTCCTGGTCCTCTCCCTAATGTTCTCCCTTGCTCTCTCCCTCCCGTTTCCCCACTGCAGGCACTGGCCCATACCTGCTCTCCCTGGTCCTGCTGGATGAGAAAGGCGATCTCCTTCTGCTCCTGTGCTTCCAGCTTCTTCACGAAGAAGAGCAGCTCCCACCACTCGGCACGGCTCAGGGCCTCTGCAGCCTTGGTCGGTGGCTGCCCCAGGTAAGGCAGGGAGTACAGACCTCCCAGGGGCTTGCACAAAAATGGTTGTGCAACTGCAGGAGAGCAGAGCAAGGAAGGGCACTGTCAGCTCTGCCAATTCCCCCGTCCTCTGTTGTACACTCCACATTCCCCAAGGAAAGAGCTCATGTGGACTGTGTTCACTGTACCACAGCCTGCTGGGGGAAAGGGAAGGGAAGTGGGAGATGGGGAACATTCTGTAAGGAGACTGATAGGCTGCTCACCTGCTCTCAGTCTGTGTCTTTGTGTCAGGGTGTTCACCTTCTCTTGGCCCTCGAGCTCCTTTTGCTCTGAAGGGCCAATCATCTCAACCATGTGCCAGTGCACCCAGTATGTACAGCCCAGGGCTTGCCAGTACACCTGAGGAGGAAAGCCCAGCAGAGGCCCAGCTGAGGGAAGGTGAGCCCAACCCCACTGTCCCCACAGAAGGCTGCACAACAGCCTGTAGCCAACAGAGCAGACAGGCCCCTGGGCAGCCCCTGCCCCCCAGGAGAGGGTACCTGCACGGGCGGCATGCCGTCATTGCTGCGGCGGAATTCACCCTCGTCACCCGCGCTGACCTGCTCGTAGTCCTCCAGCATGCGCACTCGCATGCCAGGCACGAGGTTCCCCTGCACGTACTCCACGTAGCTGCTGCGGCTTGGGAATGCCGAGCGTGTCTTGAATGGGATGGGCTCTTTCAGTGGAGAAATAGGGGCTGCTTCAGCAGCAGTGCTGGCTGGGGTTTTGTGCTGGAAGATGGAGCGGGTGGTGCGAGGCCGGAGCTCCCTTCGGGGCGGCAGCTCTGGCTTGTGGCTGTGGTTCCAGCCCATCACGTGCACCAGGTCCGAGATGAGGTTTGCCATGGCCATGCTGAACTCAAACTCCTGCTTCACACGGCTCCTCTCCTCAGGGAGCAGCCTGGGCACAGCGCAGCCCTGCTGCTCCTCTCCCTGCTCCACACCACTGCTCAGCTTGTCCAGGAGAGAAGTGACACACAGGTAGCGCTTCACCAGGACAAACAGCAGCTTCCCAGGGATCTGCAACAAGCACAGCTGTCAGGCTCAGCCTGCAGAGCACCTCCAGCTCCCAGCGCTCTCCGAGCCACCAGCTCATCCACAGTCAGGATCCCAGGAGAGCTCCGGACCAGCCGGCAGCAGCAGAGACGTCTCAGCCCACCCTCGTCTCCCTGCTCACAGAAAGGCTCTCCGTGTGCCTCTCCTCCACCTCCAGCCTCACACCAGGCCCACATTCTGTGCCAGCTCTCCCAATAGCCAGTCCTGCTCAGCCGCCCAACTCCAACTACCTTCTTGTCCCAAACAAGGACACCAGCCCTGGCCCTCCACTCCCACCACTCCTGGCCCCTTAAGCCTCACAGGCCCAGGGCTGGCAGGGCCTGCCACTACCTGTGGAAGGTGAATCCCCTCAAAGGACATGCCCTGCTCTTCAGAGGATGTTATCTCAGCAAACAGCTCCAGCAAGGTGCACCGACTGTCAAAGTCCATGTGCTGCTCAATGCCATCCTGTTGGCTCAGGGACAGCAGGACATAGGCCCGGCTCTCTGCAACAGCAACAAAAACTCTTCAGGCCCCACGGAGACAACCCTCACCCCACCCTCCCTGCAAGAGACAGATTCACAGGCAAGGAACAGCTTTGCTGCTCCCTGGCACCTGAACCACGTTCTGTCCTTTCATCTGGAGTGGCAACATTTTGCTCCACAATGTATTTTTTCTACCCCTAAAGCTGCCAAGATTCACCCTAAGCAGCAACCCAAATAACTGACTCCACATCAGGGTCCCAGGGAAGAAAAGAAGTTTTAACCTGAATCAGCCCCTCATCTGCCCCACTACAGAGCTGCACAAACTCAGACACTAGGACAGGGAAAGCCAGATCTCTTGTGGGATACACCACAGCCAGCAACCTTCCAGGTGCACCCAAGCCTCATCAGGCACTTCCAAGCCATGGTAGCTCCTCTTAAATGAGAAAACTGGGTGAGGATCAGCCTCTACCCTCCAGGCTTCTGCCAAGCCCCTTGGCGCCAGTCTTCATTGCAAGGGTATGCGGAAGGAGACTGTCCGTTCCTCTAAGTGTATCTAGTCAAGGACCTTTTCACTGCAAAAAGTGAAAGTAAGAAGAAAGCCATAAATGATAACAAAAAGAATCACAATCATGAGTGACAAATGCTATTGGAGGCAGTGAGGAGAAACAAATCTGGTCAGTCACAATAATTAGTAAGGACATTTGGAGTTTAAGAATGATTATTTTTCAGTAAGATTATCTGACTAATTGGAATTGGCAAGGAAGACAAAAGAGGGTGCACAGAAAGGCATATAAAAGGCACCAGTCATGTTTAAACCATGGCCAGCCAGTGCACTTGTTTGACAGCCCTGTACCTCATTGACACAGTTTGTCCTACTTTTTTACGTCCTCTTATTAAATCTTTTCTAACTCTCTCTACCCCATGTCTGTGTGTACTGCAAGGACTGTGTGCCAGCTACTGGTGAGACCTCTGTGAACTGCATTTGGTAGTAGGAACTGGAGCCTAACTGGGGGCGTGGGAATCCTGTGGAGTTAGCAAGTTGACAGACTGACAGTTGGGGATGCCATTGCCCTCTGAATCTGGGGAGGGTCTCATGGATTTGAGCCTGGAACCAGCTACTGGGAAAACTGGTGTACAGTGGACTCAGTACAAGCTACTCAAGTCTGATCAAGGTTTAGGTGTCCCTGGCCTGAGGTGCCACCTACTGGGGCAAGTGCAAGGGTCTCAGTGACTGGAACAGGGAGGGTCCTCGGCCATCATTCACTGGGGACTGAACAGCGTGTCCCAAAAAACAGCGACTGGAAGGGAGGCAGTGAGGAGGTTAGCACCAGCAGCTGAAGCAGGACTGCAGTGCCTGGTGCCAGAGGGAAAGGGCGAGTGTCTGTATTTTCCCCAATTCTGCTTGGCATGGAGTGTGCATTTAATTTGTTAGCAAAACTTCACTCTGGATTAGCTGGCAAGTAGGAGTTCCTGGGTCCAGACCAAGGTATGAGGCAGGTGGTGGTCTGTGCTGGAAGTCCCAAGGGACTTGTGAATGTGGAGTGTGGGAGGAACAAGTGTCTGAAGGCTATGTGTTTGTCAGCAAGCATTGGGCTTGACAAACTGATGAGCAGGGGGACTCCTGAGGCTGGTAGGTGGGCTTGGATCCAGGTACAGGTGCAGGACAGACAGAGGGGCCGTGCTAGGACCCAAAGGATCCATGAATGTGTGTGTAATTGTGAACCTGGAAAGTGCAGTGTGTGCTGGCAGGAGCAACCTGTCTCGGCTGGACGAAGAACAGGAGCGGACGTGGCTGTCTGTGCTTGTGTTTATGTGAGTCCTGTGAGTGGGTGCTGTTCAAGACAGCACCACTGTCTGTGCCCAGCCATGTCAGTGTCCTGCATGTGTCTGTGCTCTGGGATGGGCTTTGCCACTGGTTGAACCTGCAAACAGGAAAGTGGCAGCTGCATCCCTCAGGCTGAGGAACCCCAGACTCCCCAGGCTGGGCTCTAGTGGCAGAGCAGGAGAAGTGCTGGAAATGCTGGATGAGACAGCCACCTCTAATATTCTTTAACACTCCTAACAATTAATTAGCATCCCAGCTCAGAAATCTGTCAGGGGAAAGAGTTTTTAACTCTTACAGCACTCCAGACAACTACAACTGAGGAAGTCCAGAAGATCCAGACTAGTTCTTCCCCTTTTGCCAACAAGCCCCAAGACATGCTGCTTCCCAGGCATCTCACCCCTACAAAAGGACCGGCACCCCTCAGCTGCCCAGCAGCCCCTCCACAGTGGAACTGAGCAGCAGCAGCCCCCACCTGCATCGTGCGAAGCCAGGGCCCGCAGCATCTTGCCGGCACCGTGGCGGATCTGCTTCTCCCTGTGGCACAGCATCTTCATCAGCACGTCCAGGGCTCCCGTCTCCCTGAAGGCACCCACCAGAGAGCCGATGCTGGCGTAGGCGCTCAGCACGTGCACGGTGCTCAGGATGGAGCACTCGGGCGTCCCGGCCTCGGCCACCTGCCGCGTGGCTCGCTGCACCAGGCTCCTGACGTCGGCCTTCATCTCCAGCAGCGAGGCTTCATCCAGCGGCACATCTGCAGCCGACGGGCTGGGCGCCTTCTCCTCTTTCACCCACCGCCCTTCCAGCCTCCTCTTGCCCAGCAGTGCTGGGCAGCTGGCACAGACCTCTTCTGCAGACATCCACATCGAGATGTTCTCTGGCTTGGTCTCTGCAGAGGAGGCACTGCCGCCTCCCACTGCTCTCTCTTCCAAGCTAATCACACTCCACTGGATCAGGTATTCAGGCTGGCCATCGTGGCCTCGCCGCTGCTGGAGCAGCTTCTCCGGGCAGGCCTGCAGTTTGGGTCCCAGCTGCACAAGGAGGTTGCCACCGTGCTTCTCATTCACCATGGCAGCAGATGTGCCTGCAGAGACAGAGGGGAAGCAGGAGCTGGGGAGATGTGCCTGAGGCACGCTATGGCTAGAGATCTGTGATCTAGTGCTGGTGACATGGCAACCAATAAAACGTGCTTTTGTACTGGCTGTACACATGGTCAGCATTACAAATTCCTAATACTGCAAGTCTAGTGAAGTATGAGATGTAGCTTGCTTTCTCCTTGGAAAACTAACTGTGCATGTGTAGAAACAAGACAACAGGGCAGAACACAGTAATTTTTGGACTGCCAAATGGGCTGTGGGCATGGCAGGAACACGGACAGCAGTGCCCAGGAACGGCAGGTTTCCCCAGGAAGTTCAGCTGCAACGCTTTGCCTGTGTGCTGATGGAGCTCCCCGAGCCAGCTGGAACACACATGCTGGACCCAGGGGCCAGTGCAAGTCTGTACTGCGGGGCTCCGCTGCACATCACCCAGTCGGGACTGGGCACACAGTGCAGGGACTGGCCTGTGCCCGGGTCACACACGCCAAAGGTGGGCGGCACGGCGCTACCATCACCGGGAAGCGCTCGCACGGGTAGGCCGCGCCAGCGGCTGCAACAAAGCTCCTTCCAGGCGCGGGCTACACGAGAGCTCGCCGGGCACCGAGCAGCGTCCAGCTCGGCCCGTTCCGGCCGCCGCATCCCCTCCCCGGCCAGGCGGGGGCCGCTACCGAGGCCTCCCCGAGAGGGCTCGGGACAGCGCCGCTCGGGGCGCTCGCCGGCCGTGCCGTGCCCAGCCCGCCGCGCTCCCTCCCTCCCTGCTCCGCGGGGCCGGGCCGGGCCGGGGCGGCCCCGTTACCTCCGGCACCGCTCCCGCGCCGCTCCGGCCCGCGGGCGCCTGCGCGGGGCCCGCACCGAGCGCGGCTGCGCGGGGCGGGCGGCACCGGGAGCGCGGAGCGGGCGGGGGCGGGACACGGCAGGGTCGGGGCAGCGCCGGGGCTGCCTGAGGGGCGGGGGGCACGGCCCGGCACTCGGAGGGCAGCGGGACAGGGGAGGTGGCGAGGGAAGGGGGCGGCAGCGGCCGGCGCAGGGCGCAGTGCGGGGTTAGCGCGGCTGGAAGGCGCTGAGGGGTCTGTGCTTCCCAGCTGCGCAGCAGGTCACTCTCGCTGGAAGTGCCTTCCTGCCCCTTCGCCTTCACTGCTCCACAGGCTGAAGGTGGGGGAAGAGCCCTGTTGTCCGATAGCTAGGTTTGGCACGATTGTGCCCACTGACCCCACCGAGTCACTCACCCACCTCAAACTCAAGCCAAGGCAATCCGCAAACCCACACTTCTCTCTCCTGGCAACCCCACTACCAGAACCCAAAGGCCCTGTGCATAAAAGGCATCAGTAATGCGATAGCAGTTTCATGAAGGATGTTTTATTGGCCCCTGGCATCACTCCACTGCTCTGACCCGTGGCAGGTTGACATAGCTCTTCATGGGTGGGAGAGGCCTGATCTTGCGCCCGGCCCAGCCACCCTTGCGGTGCCACAGGCCTGTGTGTGGGCGCTTGCCCAGCCAGCGGTTCCGGCCTGCCTTCCCAATCACCCGCTTGTTGTGATCCACATTGGACACGCGGCCCACCGTGGCCACGCAGGTCTCCAGCACCTGGGGGACAGAGAAGAGCTGCAGCCCTCCCTGGGGATACACAGTTGCATGCCCAGGCAGTCAAGCCAGGGGCAGCACGGCTCCTTTACCTGCATATGCCTTTTGGAGGGCAGCTGCACGATGGCTGTCCCGTTCACTTTCCTCAGCAGCACCCCACAAGTCCCTGCAGCAGGCAAGAGAGGAGGCAGCTGCCTTGAGCAGCAGGTCAAAGTATCCCACCCTGTTGCAAGCACATGCCCATGCTGGGAACTCCCCAAAGCCCCTGCCACTGCACTTCATGCGGCACTTCTTGCTAAAGAGAGGGCCTTGGGAAATCAACAGGGCAGAGCTGTCCCCACCTCTCTGAGGGCTGTTTTGCACTCTTAACGGCGGAGATGAAAGCAACTCCCTGTCACTGGCCACCCACAGCAGTGCGCCCATGCCCTCTTCTTCATCTGTGCAAAACCAAACCACTACAAACAGTGCAGGGCCTCCTCACCAGCTGCCCGAATGTACTGTGCTCCCTTCCCAGGGTGGCTCTCCAGGTTGCAGATCAGCGTGCCGACAGGCAGAGCCCCCAGCGGGTACGCATCCCCTTCGTTGGCAGACACTGGAAGACAGAAGCTGACAAGTTGGGCAAGGAGCAGCTGACGAGCCCTTGGCAAGGCCGGTGCAGCTGCCCCTGGCCCTGGCCTGCACCTGCCATCCTGCCAATGTGAGAGGAGTTCTTGATGATGTCCCCCGGCTGCATGTTCTCCGTGGCAACGATCCAGCGCTTGCGGTTGCCGCCGGCCACCAGGGCGATGTCAGCCGACCTGTACGGGGAGCCGGCGGAGGCTGAGCAGGGGGTCACCACTGGCACGGCAGCCCCAGGCCGAGCCCGCACCCCGCACTCGCCTGCAAGGGTCGTATCGGACCTTGATGACCTTCTCGCTGAAGGGCTCCTGCGGGGCCCCCTCCTCGTAGCGCAGCCGGTGGAAGTCGATCATGCGGTACCGCCGCTTGTGTCCCCCGCCGATCCCCCGCACGCGGATGCGACCTGCGGGACACGGCAGCGGCTGCAGGCGGACCCCGCACCGCACCGCCGGCCCCGGAGGCTCGCCCGTTCCCGCCCGCCCGCCCACCTGTGTGATCGCGACCGCCCGTCTTCTTCATGCCCACGGGCCGCACGGTGTATTTGACCCGGCACTTCCACAGCGGGTCGGTGGTGCAGCGCGGCGCCGAGCCGCCCAACCCGCGGCAGACGGCCGCCACCGGCCCCGGCAGCCAGGGCAGGGGCGCAGGCGGCAGCGCCAGGGGCCAGGCGCGGCGCGGGGCGGCCGAGAGCAGGAGCGCCCCGAAGGCGCGGCACAGCCCCGTGGCCGCCATGGCAGCCATGGCCGAGCGCGGGGGCCGCCGGGCGGGGCGGCACGAAGGGGGGGGAGCCGCCGGTAGGGGGCGCGGGTGGCGCAGAGGCCATTTTGGATTTAAAGGGGCTGCGCCGCCGGGACGGCGGGCGGTGCTGGGTGCGAGTTTCGCTCCGCCCCCGCCGGGACCGGGGCCGCGACCGCGACCGCGACCGGGGCCGCCATCGAGGTGTCGCGCCGAGCAGGTGGGGCGGGCGGGGTCACGGGCCTCGGTTCGCGGCCCCGGGAGGGGGGAGGATGAGCGGGGCTCGACGGCGCAGGCCTTTCCCGGGGCGGCGTCCCCGCCGCGGGGAGCCGGGAAGGTCCTTGTGTTGGGGCCGGGGCCGGCGGGGCTTGGGGATTGCGGCGCGCCCTGTCCGCCGGGACAGCGGGAGGAGCGAGGGCAGCGCTAGGGCTGGGGCCGCCGTGCCGGGTCCTGCGGGCCGCGGTAACGCCGCGGGTCTGCGGCGTGAAGGGCGCCGGCCCTGCGGACTTTGGAGCCGGGGAGGTGCGGCCCGCGGGATCGGCCCCCCCCTGCTCGGGCAGCGCCAGGTCCGCAGGCTCGGGGGTCGCGGCCCCGCCGCGGGCAGGGCCGGGGCCGCTGGCGGAGGCCAGGAGCTCCCGAGGGAGGAGCACAGTGTGTCTGTGACGACGGTGGGTCAGCCCGAAGTCCCAGCCATAGCTGTTTCCAGGGTGCTGTGGGCACAGACTGCGGGATTCACTGCTCTATAATTAGTCTGTGCCTTCACTGCCTGGAACGGCTTTCACTGTAAGACAAATAACGTATGTAATGTATGTCTGCATTCCTGCTTTGTAACTTGTGTGACTTTTAACTGTGCCATTGCTGTGTGTACCCCATAGCAAGCCAGGTTTGCCCTCTGGAATTAGGGAAGGGAGAACAGCTTTAGAGAAGAAATGTATGTTGTGAGATGAGGCAAGAGACAATCTGCGTGTCAACATGGCTGGGCTGTCGCCTGGGACACCTGAAGCCCTTCCCCCTCGGGGGAATCGGTGGGAAGGGACAGGAACACCAGTGAAGCTCTGCACTGGGACAGGCAGATGTAGGTAACTGAGGACAGCATAAGGCTCACAAAACATCGTAGGGAGCACCGTGACAGTTGCGTGTTACTGTGGATGGGGTCACTGTAGCAACTACCTAAACTGGAGGCTGTGTCGTTGTCCCCTTTCTGTGTAAAGCACGTAGAGACTGAACAAGTGCTTTCAGCACTGCCTGGTCTAGCTCCACCCTGTGCAGTGTGCACACAGTAGGGCTCCAGCCATCCCATATCTCCTGTATCTGGCCATCGCTGTGGGCACAGCAATAGCAACCACACAGCTGGACGGTTCTCTGCAGCTGCACCAGCTCGGTTTCAGGGGCTGGGATGGGGTCAGCAGTGGGACGAAGGCGAGGGTGATACAAAACAGGATGTAGAACCCGTTCGCCACAGGATTGGAGGGTGGGATTGGAACAAAGCTTTGGCGGTCTGAGGAGGAGCTCGATAGATCTCCTTGGGCAGAGTTTGGCGGCATCTCGGGGGCTCGGCCCTGCTCCTTGGTGCTCCGGTCGATCCCTGAGGAGGGAGCCGTGGGCTTGGCGCGCGTGGCGCTTTCTGCGCTCCCAGGAGAGCGTCCGACCGTCCTGTTCCCGGAGCCTGTCCGCATCCCTCCCCTCCCCCTGCCGCAGTGTGGTTGGCTGCCGAGCGCAGGGTGCCTGCGCCGCTGCTCGCTCCGAGGGCAGCGCGGCAGAGGGAGCCGCGGAGCGCCGCGGCCATCGCTCCTTCGCCTCCTCCAGGGGACCCGGCGCTGGACAAGCCGCTGCAGGCAGCCAGGTAACCTCTCCTCTGCGGCACGGGGCGGGAGACATTCCCATCCGGTGACTGAGGTGGGCAGGGTGCCCAGCCACCCTGGAACAAAGGACCGCTTTGATGCGCAATTTCGGGCAGAGCCGATGACAACTTTTTTTTTTTTTTTTTTTTTTTTCCTCGCGAAGCTTGCACTTAGCCAGGTGGACACAGAATTTCTCTGTGGCTGTTCTGAGGGTTGAAGGGGTTTCTCTGGCTTGCTTGTTCCAAGCATACGCAGCGGGCGTGACTCCTGCCAGACAAAGCCGGAGAAACGATGACGGAGGCAGGTCATACAGCAGTGGCTCTCAAAGAGCCTTGTTTCCCCCCCAAACCTTCCTCCCATCAATTAACTGCTTCCTAAGCTGTTCCGAAGTGGAGGTGCGCCCTACCAAAAGTGCTGGGCTGGGGGAGGGGGGGGCAATCGCTGGTAAGCTTCTGGGAAGCAGAGGATGCGTCTGGGAGGAGGTGTCTGAAGAAGAGCTGAGGGATGGTGTTGCAGTAGAACGCTCTGACCAGGCAGCCGGGAGAAACCTGCACAATGGTGGGAGGCAGCAGCACGTTTCCAGAAACCACAGGCTTCCCTGTGTGACTTGCACAGGGACATCTGGAATTCTATTGCGGTTCCATGCTCCCTAGTGACCTTGGT